TGATGACCAAGCAACCCAGATTGCTCTGCGTTGCTTGGTCAACTGGGCATAAGCAAACAGCACTGCCAAATGTGAAAAATCTAGGAAGAATGCAGGCCACACTTAGTGAGTTGGGGACTATCCTGGGAATCAGTGACTCTGAACAAGACGTTGGGGGGGGGGGGGGTGGTCATCGTGGTTAGGCATTTAAACATGAGCACCCAGTATGATGCTGTGGGCAAAAAGGGCCATCATAATCCTTGGATGCACAAACAAGGGAATCACTAGTAGGAGTAGGGCGGATATTTTACTTCTGTATTTAGCACTGGTGCAACTGCTGCTGGAATAGGAAGTCTAATTTTGGCATCCACAATTCAAGGATGTTGATAAACTGGAGAGGGTTCAGAGAAGAATCATGAGAACGATTAAAGAATTAGAAAAAGGATGCTTTATAGTGATAAATTGAACAGATTAAGCCCCTTGACTCCAACAAACAGAAGATGAAGAGGTGACTTGATTAGTTTGTATATATGTGAGGAACAAATATTTGATAATGGGCTCTTCAAGCAAGCAGAGGCATAACACAATACAATGGGTAGAAGTTGAAACTAGACAAATTTGGATGGGAAATAAGGCATATAAAAAAATTAAGAGCAAGTGGAAGTGACATACCAGCAAGAGGTTGTGATGAATTCTCTATCATTGGCAATTTTTAAAATCAAAATTTAATTAACGGATATCTTTGAGGGGGGGGGGGGGGGGGAACAAGACAAAGACCGAAATTAGTTCAGGGAATTTCTATAGTCTGAGGTACTGCATAACAAGCCAGATAATCACACCATTAGCTTTTACCTGAACCAGTTAAGCACTTCAGTGCTTGACCTGTTAAGCATATTAAGCGGTGTACATTTTTACACTGCTGCTTTGCTGACTGTGATCCAGCCAATGTCATAAATGACCATTTCATACCCAACTTAAAGTTATACTATGCATGAGAGTTTGGAGAGTTACACTTGAGAATCTGGTTCCCTCTAACAGAAGAGGAGGCAAAACCCCTAAACACCAAAAGCCTCATTTATCTTGAATAGAGACACTTCAAAAACTAAACTATTTTCCTACATTTGCAAAACTCCATGAAAAAAAAAAATAAATAAATAAATAAATAAGTCTCCCTATCCCATAGTGGACAATATCTCATAGGAATATCTTGTTCCTATTAAAATGGGAAGAGAAGGAGGCGGCAAAAACAAGGCTTAAAGTTGCAACCAGAGATCCATTTTAACTACGCAATTACCACAGATACCTCCATAAATGAAGTATATCAATCAGTTTGACAGGGAAGGAGAAATTGTAATGAAATAGAGATACTATGGATTAAATTCAACCTTAGCATAAGTGGGTGTAATTTTCATCAAGTCAATTGGAGCTGTCCCAGCTTATTCCATGGACGAGTTCATCCCCACAGCCAACCATGCTAGATTACGAACTCAATGTATGCAACTAGCACACCACAATTCCAAGTGACAGCTACCATAACTCAAATCTATGTTGCTGTCTAGAACAAGACAGTTATTGCACACAGCTCTGTGGAAAGACAAGCAAAAATGAAAGCCAAGTTGATGGGGGTGTCTATGAAATTCTAGTTATTACAAGGATAATACCATTTAAACCTGTTTGGAAGAGTTTATTTCACTATTTCAATTAATTCCAATTAAAAAGTGTACAGCACAATTTCTTAAGACACTTTGCAGGACAAGACTAGCATGTTTATTGAGAAATCTTATGGTACAGATACTGCTCTTTTTATTTATAGTAGCTTAATACTAATCTTAAGAAGCCTGCAGTATTTTACTGTAGGATTTGTAAAACTCACTAAGGAAACCTTTCTGCTTCCTCTCACATGTGCTTCCATTCTACGCACCCATGCTACACTGCTTAGAGGAGGAAGAGAAAGATGAAGATGGAAGTCTGGCAGTTTTAATCTTAATTTTATTGCTTTGATAAATTTTAGACACTTGAGAATATTAATTTTTCAACAGCGTGGAAAAACATTTTCCTTAGATCATTTCCATACTGTTGACATTTTGAGGACAAATGGTTCAATTCACAACTTTTAGGATTTACATTTGCCATCCACAGGTGGTAGATTTTTTTAGTAGTATAACACAATGGAACAAACATGTTTGATTATCAAATATAACACCCTATACAAACACTGCTGATCTCTAGATATTCCAAGTCGGCTGATTATATTTAAAAATCAATTTCCTATTTTGTTACTCGAGTAGCATAGGGACACTGTACCTAGTACAGAAGGCACTATTTACAGAAGTACAGAAACCAACGACAAGAGATTCCTCTTTCAGATTCAACACAGGAGGATTTCTCAAAGCTGCGGTAGAGAAAGTAAGCGTGCAAACTATTTAAAAAAAAAAGTCTGACAGTACACATTCTTCACCTTTTAATTAACTCTGGCATTTTGAAACACACAGCTGTTATGACACAATATTTTGATTATAAACAGTGCAAAAAAAGACTGGCCCACATTGCTAGTAAAGAAAAAACACTGCTACAGTACTGTATAAATCCTCAATAGATCAATATCCATATTGTGGCCCAAATCTTTTAGGCACTTGACACTTTTACTAAACCTTTCAGAACAGGCCAAAATAGCATACGTTGTATTTGCACAATACCACTCCTTAATTGCAGCAGAGTATTTGCTATTGTTTCTGGAGCTGAAAAATACTAGCATTCAAGTTCCCCCCCATGAAACTAAAAGCAAAGTTTGTAACACAAAACATGAACTAAAGATCCAGAGCAGAGAGATCTCATACATTAGGTAAGGGAAAAAAAGCATTCCCCCCACCCCCCTTTTATGGTAATTTCTGGATCATTTACTTTGCAGGACTTTGAGAACTGGCTCTGGGCTCCATGACAGCAGCAAAGACTTTACTCACCAAAGCTGTGCCTCACCAGCTACACACTCTTGTCTGCACGTCCAGCTAACACGGGTATAGTGTCTGTATGCTATACGCTGCTGTAAGTGTAGAGCTACCCTTTGAAATGCCTGCGACAGCTCGTTACCAGAGAGACTGGTAAGGCTGCAGACCTCTCACAACAAAACAGTGGAAGAGCAGCAGATGCAATGGCAACAGAATTCAAGCCTTAACCCAACCAGGATGTTTCCAGTCTGGGCTGTATGCTTGTATGCACCCATCACATCTTCAGTAAAGTACAGACATGCCAGAACCCTAGTGTATATACCCCATATGGCTCGCTACATTCCCAAGCAGTGCTTTCTACATCTACACTGCTACTTTTAGCAGTGTAATGTTCTGCTGCCAGAACCCTTCCAGTGAAGGGACTTGGGCAGCAGTGAAAGACTCCAGCAGGGAGAGGCGGAAGGGAAAGGCTCCCCACTGCCTCCTCCCGCCAGAACCTCTCACTGCCACCTGTAGCTATACACTGCAGCGTGAGTACAGCCTGCCTGTCACTGCAGCATGTAGCAGTGGTGTGCAGGGTATGCGTAGCGAGGTTAGAAAAGGCCAGAGACTGCTGCCCCGCATCTTGTGAGGCAGAGGTCACACTGTCCTGTTTGCTGTGGTTCATCAGACTCGTATTTTCTGCTAGAGGCTGCTATCTTGTGCTCCAGAATCTAAGGTTCCACTTCAGCCAAGGAGAATCTCAAAAACGTGAGCGGAGCATGAACAGATGCAGACACGTCACCACTCTTTCATTACTAATTTTAAGGTAGAAATAGAAAAGAAACAACTCTGGCTCAAAGAAAGGGAAGTGAGGAATGAGATCGGTAGAGTGCACTACAGTAGTACAGCAGCATAACAAATGGGACGCTGAATGAGGAAAGGTAGGAGCCTTTAGGACAATGTAAGTCGTCATGATAATGTCTCTGGTGCAAGATAATTGGCAACTGTATGCAGTGTCATAGCCTTGTTGGTCCTAGGATATTGGAGAGACAAGGTGATTAAGTAAGATCTCTTATTAGACCAACCTCAGGAATAGTTCTGTGTAAAATCAAACTTTTCTCCCCCCCATCAGTTGGTCCAATAAAGAGATTGCCTCACCCACCTTGTCTCTCTAATTGGCAGCTGACTCCTGTGCATAGTGACTGTTGGCAATTAAAAAAAAAAAAAAAAAAGAGATACAAATATAAGTGTCAGTTAAGATTAGAGAGAGGGGGACATTTCAGGAGACAAACGTCTTAAAAAGTTTAAAGTTTTAAAAATAGTTTCCAGGGAGAAACACTGAATCTCTTAGTCTCAATCTGCTGTATGTGTATAATAATATTTTAAATCTTGAAAAAAAATCAGAAAAAAATAAGTCATCTAGAAATTTTTTTGTATACAGGAGAAGGAGTGGTATTTAAATAAAAACATCCAAGAGAACTCTCCTTTCCTCCCACACAGATTTTATCCTCAGAAAAGCACAAAGAGGAAAGAGACCCTTATGGAGTTATCGGAAAGGCAACACAGAAGCAGAACGAGCCTCTTAGATATCAATTTTTACATGAAGAGTAGTCATTAGGTGTAAAAATGGTTGTATACGTGACATTAAGTACCACATCATGCTAGTCCGTCAGCAGGTGATTTTGCCACCTCCCCCAGCCCAAGTCCAATAATGATGAAAGAGGGGTCTACTGCTGGTTTAAGAAACCAGCACATACCGTACTCTATTTTTGCATGTTGTTCATAAAACCCTTTGCCCTGTGCAGTCAGTACTCCACAGTTAGACTTTAGTGCCCATTGCTTGTGTTAATTTAACATGACCACTAGTTTCTGAAGATTATTTCTCTCTACTTCATAAAAAGCTACTATTATCTGGCTGAATTATAAAAGCCAAAGCCCTTCACCACAAGATTCTTGGTATTATTTAAGATTCTATAAAATTTCATAAATAAGACTGGGTCATTCAGGAAATTTTTTCAAAGCTATAATTTTGAGATTGCAACACATTAAAATTCAGTATTGGATATTTTTTAGAATATATTTTTATTTATTTACCTTTTTGCTTCCTCTAGATGGCATAAATACTCATAAGCAATGTTCTGACGCCTCCGCTCATCCATTTCTTCTGCTGAAAGCCTTTCATCATCCACAATAGCTGTAAACAGAAAAACTATGTCAAATTACACATAATTAGAGGTGACCCTCAAAGCAATTTTACTAAAAAACAAAACAAAACTGCTGCAGCTGAGAAAATGCTCTTTATAGGACTTCACTGAGAAACATTTGCCAAATACAGAAGTACTCTTACCACACCAAGTAAAAAAAGATTAACCGTGTTAGATCTTAAAATGTTGTGGTTTTAAGTTTTATAAAAGTATTGGGGAAATTTCCTCCAACACTCTCTTCCATGCACCACATTCAGTATCCTAACATTCACACTTTCCCCTCTGATTTTAGATTCTTCATACTATTTATCTGAGGGGGCATGCAGAGTTCAATTATTTTTTTCCACCACCTTTTTTAATATGTGGAGGGAAGATAAACTCCCCAGCAACCACTTCTTCAGGCAAATACTAAGATAACAGGTAGTAGACCTTCTAACTGGAATTCTTCTTACTCCATTATATACAATCCCCATCACCAACCTCCCTTTTTTGTAAAAATTAAAGTCCTGACCCTCAAAGGATAACTTCTCCAGTATATGTGGGTACAGTTACCAAGATTGCACAGATAATTTCCTGCATAGTCTTCTGAAAACGTAGGCCTACAGCTTCTATGGCACTAACTTGGCGAAACTAAGTCCTGCAATTACATTCTGCCTATTAAAAACCAAAAATCCCAACCACCACCACCCGTAACTAACAAAACTATGCCAGTCACCATGCTTATCTATTTGCACATTATTCCTCATCACCAGCCTTTGATCTATTTGTTTCTTTTGGATTGTAAGGCTGCTGGAGTGGGGACTCACGTTTGTACAGCACCCAGCACAACATGTCTCCATTACCCTAGCATAAGTAATTAATTCTCCCTGTGCAGTCTCCACTGGATAAGTAACTTCCATTTTCAGTTCTAAAAACTATTGTGGGGGTAGTATTGCTATGTGCTGTCAAGAAGTTAGGTTGCACCCCAGAGATAGTTGCATTTCTGTGTGGGTAAAGTTATCTCTATAGTTTGCAAGAGCACTTCGTGGATAGAAAATTCTGTATTTGTACAATTTCACTTCGCAATCAGCCATCAGTGCCTCAAGCACACTGCCAAAGCCAGAAAAATAAGAAAATTAAACCATAGTAAATAGGGCTGTTAAGCAACTTTAAAAAAATGAATCATGATTAATCGTGCTGTTAAACAATAGAAAACCATTAATTTTAAATATTTTTGGATGTTTTCTAAATTTTCAAATATATTGATTTCAATTACAAACACAGAACACAAAGTGTACAGTGCTCACTTTATATTTATTACAAATATTTGCAAAAAACAGAAGAGGTAGTATTTCAATTCACCTGATACAAGTACTGTAGTGCAATCTCTTTATTGTGAAAGTTGAACTTACAAATGTAGAATTATGTCAAAAAAAAATAACTACACAAAAATAAAACAGTGTCAAAGTTTAGAGCCTACAAGTCCACTCAGTCCTATTTCTTGTTCAGACAATTGCTTAGACAAATAAGTTTGTTTACATTTATGGGGGATATTGCTGCTCACGTTTTGTTTTCAATGTCACCTGAAAGTGAGAACAGGTGTTCGCATGGCAGTTTTGTAGCCGGCGTTGCAAGGTATTTACATGCTGAACGTGCTAAACATTCATATGTCCCTTCATGCTTCAACCACCATTCCAGAGGACATGCATCCATGCGGATGATGGGTTCTGCTCGATAATGATCCAAAGCAGAGCGGACAGACGCATGTTCATTTTCATTATCTGAGTCAGATGCCACCAGCAGAAGGTTGCTTCTCTTTTTTGGTGGTTCGGGTTCTGTAGTTTCCGTGTTAGAGTGTTTCTCTTAAGACTTCTGAAAGCATGCTCCATACCTCGTCCCACTCAGATTTTGGATGGCACTTCAGATTCTTAAACCTTGGGTCGAGTTCTGTAGCTATTTTTAGAAATCTCACATTTCTTTGCATTTTGTCAAATCTGCTGTGAAAGTGTTCTTAAAATGAACATGTGCCGAATCATCATCCGAGACTGATGGAACATGAAATATATGGCAGAATGTGGGTAAAACAGAACAGGAAACATATTCTCCCCCAAGGAGTTCAGTCACAAATTTAATTAACACTTTTTTTTAAAATGATCATCATCAGCATGGAAGCACGTTGTCTGGAATGGTGGCCGAAGCATGAAGAGGCATATGAATGTTTAGCATATCTGGCACGTAAATACCTTGCAACGCTGGCTAGAAAAGTGCCATGTGAATACCTGTTCTCACTTTCAGGTGACATTGTAAATAAGAAGCAGGCAGCAGTATCCCCTATAAACGTAGACAAACTTGTTTGTCTTAGCAATTGGCTGAACAAGAAGTAGGACTGAGTGGACTTGTAGGCGCTAAAGTTTTACATTGTTTTGTTTTTGAGTGCAGTTATGTAACAACAACAAAATCTACATTTGTAAGTTGCAATCTCTTTATCATGAAAGTGTATTACAATACTTGTATGAAATGAATTGAAAAATTTCTTTTGTTTTTTTTTTTACAGTGCAAATATTTGTAATCAGAAATATAAAGTGAGCACTGTACACTTCATATTCTGTGTTGTAATAGAAACCAATACATTTGAAAACACAGAAAAACATCCAAAAATATTTAATAAATTTCAATTGATAGTCTAATAAGAACATAAGAATGGCCGTACTGGGTCAGACCAAAGGTCTATCCAGCCCAGTATCCTGTCTACCGACAGTGACCAATGCCAGGTGCCCCAGAGGGAGTGTACCTAACAGGTAATGATCAAGTGATCTCCCTCCTGCCATCCATCACCACCCTCTGACAAACAGAGGTTAGGGACACCATTCCTTACCCATCATGGTTAATAGCCATTAATGGACTTAACCTCCATGAATTTATCCAGTTCTCTTTTAAACCCTGTTATAGTCCTAGCCTTCACAACCTCCTCAGGCAAGGAGTTCCACAAGTTGACTGTGTGCTGTGTGAAGAACTTCTTCCTTTTATTTGTTTTAAACCTGCTGCCCATTAATTTCATTTGGTGGCCCCTAGTTCTTATGTTATGGGAACAAGTAAATAACTTCCTTATTCACTTTCTACACCTTACTCATGATCATATCCCCCCTTAGTCTCCTCTTTTTCAAGCTGAAAAGTCCTAGCCTCTTTAATCTCTCCTCATATGGGACCCGTTCCAAACACCTAAACATTTTAGTTGCCCTTCTCTGAACCTTTTCTAATGCCAGTATATCTTTTTTTTATATGAGGAGACCACATCTGTACACAGTATTCAAGATGTGGGCGTACCATGGATTTATACAAGGGCAATAAGATATTCTCCGTCTTATTCTCTATCCCTTTTTTAATGATTCCTAACCTCCTGTTTGCTTTTTTGACTGCCGCTGCACACTGCATGGACGTCTTCAGAGAACTATCCACAATGACTTCACGATCTTTTTCCTGATTAGTTGCGGCTAAATTAGCCCCCCTCCCCCATCATATTGTATGTATAGTTGGAGTTATTTTTCTCAATGTGCATTACTTTACATTTATCTGCATTAGATTTCATTTGCCATTTTGTTTCCCAATCACTTAGTTTTGGGAGATCTTTTTGAAGTTCTTCATAGTCTGCTTTGGTCTTAACTATCTTGAGCAGTTTAGTATCATCTGTAAACTTTGCCACCTCACTGGTTTATCCCTTTCTCCAGATCATTTATTAATAAGTTGAATAGGATTGGTCCTAGGACTGACCCTTGGGGAACACCACTAATTACCCCTCTCCATTCTGAAAATTTACCATTTATTCCTACCCTTTGTTCCTGGTCTTTTAACCAGTTCTCAATTCATGAAAGGATCTTCCCTCTTATCCCATGACAACTTAATTTACGTAAGAGCCTTTGGTGAGGGACCTTATCAAAGGCTTTCTGGAAATCTAAGTACACTATGTCCCCCTTGTCCACATGTTTGTTGACCCCTTCAAAGAATTCTAATAGATTAGTAAGACATGATTTCCTTTTACAGAAACCATGTTGACTTTTGCTCAACAATTTATGTTCTTCTATGTGTCTGACAATTTTATTCTTTACGATTGTTTCAATTAATTTGCCCGGTACCTACGTTAGACTTACCGGTCTGTAATTGCTGGGATCACGTCTAGAGCCCTTTTTAAATATTGGCGTTACATTAGCTATCTTCCAGTCATTGGGTACAGAAGCTGATTTAAAGGACAGACTACTAACTATGGTTTGTAACCTATGTTTAACAGTGTGATTAATGTTAACTCAAAAATTAATAGTGATTAATCGTGTAAGTTAACTGCAATTAATCGACAGCCTGAATAGTAAATAAATTTCACATCATCCCAATTCTATGATATGCCATTTACAACTGTTAAAATAAACAGGCTAGCTCCTCCAAATGAAAGATATAGGTAGGACAGATGCTTCCGTGCCCACAATTGACAGCAACATGCACTATATAACAGCACTTCCCTGATGAATCATAAAACTCTTAAAGAACATCCTTACTAAGCACATGTGCAGTTAAAACAAGTTGAAGTCCCTTGCCTAAAATTCTGACCTAGAGTTGCTACTCTGTAAGATACATTCACCTATATTGCACTGAAACTTCAAGCTTAGCAGTTTCAGTCACCTCTGTGCATCTATCCTTCTCTGCATTTCTCCTCTTCTTGCAACTTTTAAGATAGCACCTTTAGCCACCACTAAAAGTTTCATCCACAGATAAAGCAAATTCATGCTTTATTCTGACTTTTTTTCAGTCCATTAATTCCAGCAAGCATGACACGCTAATTTACAGACTGCAAAAAAACTCAAGTCTATTTTTCCTCTGCAATAAGCATCAAATCTAAAAAATTATGTAGTCTGTTGCTAAACCTAATGGTATGGAATATTATAAGTATGTTTATACTGTTTTAGGATTCCTTCCATTTGTCAATATAAATAGTTTGTGCTTTCTCTATACCGAGACATTTTCT